CATCAGGAGAATAATTAACTGGGCATTTTAAGGGAGTTGCTTTGAATCCAGCTTCTGTAATAGAAGGCACCTGATGTGCATAATGAACTGGAGAAGTGTAAATTCCTGTTACAATTGTAACACTGCATTACATTGCAGGAGAATACTCTCAGAAATAAGGTTGAAAATCCACTTGAAAGCCACAGTAAATATAGGTTAGAAGAAAATTCCAGGCTAAGCAAAATGGGCTAGGTGGGGAAAATGTACTGCTTATCGGTCTAAGCCTTCCAGAGAGGCGATGCCCAGCTCCTCTGGTGAGACCCTGCGCCATCCTGGCACTCTTACAGCGCATCAGGGAGCTGGAATATGACGTGGAGAGGCTGCAGGGGGAAACCCAGAAGTACCACAGCGAGCAGGAGGGCATCCGAAAGCAGCTGGCTGAGAAAGCCAAGGTGAGCAGCTGGCCATGGGGTACGTGGCGGAGGGCAGGCAGGGTTGGCAGACATGCGGGGCGAGGGCCAGCGAGCCCCAGGCACGCAGTGCATCAGAATGTGCTGAGCTCTGCCATGGACCCTGAGGGAAGAAGGTAACTTGAGTACGCGAAAATAGCCTGCCCCGTGTGAGAGGTGCACTGGAAAGTCAAGGCTGGATGATGTCCTGGGGACCCAACCCAGGAGAAAAGCGGTGTTAAGTGTCCCACGCTGCAAACTCACCCTCCACAGAAGGATTGCTGTCTCCTGCTGTTTCAAAGTTATATTTAGAGTCGCTGATGCGAATCGTGGATAGTTGGGGTAGAAGTGCTTATGGCACGGTTTTCGGGTATTGCTTTGATATGCAAATGCTCTGGTTGTTGCAGACTGAGAAGGAGCTGAAGGCTGACTGTGCCAGGCGATCTCTGCAGCTGCAGGAGATGGGGCGCAGGGAGAGGCTGCTGAAAGCTGACCTGGGACGGGCCCAGGAGCAGGTAGGGATGGAGGCAGGGATGGATGGAGGCAGCAGAACTATCTGATTTTTGAGTGCAGGCAAGGGAGTGCTGAGTCCTGAGCACCAGACCTTGGCACTTGTCGTCGGGTGCAGTATAAAAGGCTCATCCACAGGATTTGTGTAGGCATCACAGAAGGTGCGGCAAGATTAATGGGACATGGGAACACGCTATACTCTCTGTAATCATAGCCATGCTGCCTGGGACCCATGCAAACCCTCCTCTGAGCCTAGACCACCAGAAGAAAGCACAAGGAGGTTATCACCCTGCCCCCAGTTAAACTACAACTCTGTGTTTTGCCAGCATGAAATTTTTTAGGAACCCCAGCCTCTGGGAGGCGGAAAAAGCTATGAGTTGTTTGATCACGTTTGGAAAATAAGCCCGAATTTTTTGCAAAGTGGAGCCTCAAGCTTTTAAAGGGAGACTTTTAAAATGGAGACTTTTGAGTCTGCTGTGTAGGTCAGCACAGGGACAGCTGTTTGTGGAAGCTCCGGGAGGAGCCAGCACCAGCAGTGATACAGAAGTGTAAAGCATTGACCTGGGTGAGGATGGTGGTCCTCTCCCACGTACCCAGCCTGCCCCAGGTGTAGCAGCCACGGGAATGTCTGCTGGAGCGTGGAGGGGAGCAGCCAGGGCTCCGGTGGTATGTCCTTCGCCATTTGCACCAGCTCTCCACCAGCAGAATCCTCCCACAGCAGCAGAAGGGCAGCAGGAGGTGTTCAGGAGACATATTTTCCTTGGTGAGGAGGAGCCGACAGCCTCCCCTCTGCATGGCACTGGTGAGCACACCTTCTAGGGAATGTAGCAGGTGTTAGGGCCAAAAGAGGGGCTTGGGGGAACCCTCACAAAGTTGCACGGTGAGAATAGTGTGTCTGCTAGAGCAATGCCCCAATGGGAAGGGCAGGAATGTGCGGGGGGCTTCAGTGCCGGAGATGGCTGGCACCAGGATGCTCTGTGCAGGGTTGAGCAGAGCTGATAACAACTCTCCATGATTTTTGTTTTCCTTTATGTTGACCTCTGCCATAGCTGGAGTCTTTCAAAACCCAAGTGATGCGAGTCTGCTCTCCAGCAGCAGCAGCAGGTGGCGCAGCGAAGGCTGTGAGGGAGCAGCAGGTGAGTTTGGATACCAGCACACAGAGGTGCCCAGCGTCTCCCAAGTTTGGCACATCTCGAGTCAGGTTCTGTGCCTGCTCTGCGCATGGTAGTGCCAGTAGCGTCCCAACTTCTCTGAATCACGAGTTGTGCTGCATCTATCCCAGCTTAATGACTCTGCTCCGCGGTGGGAAGGAGACACGATGGGTTTTGTTACCCAGAGCTTGGATGGAGTCGGTGGGCTGCAGCCGGAGAAGCCCATGAGTCTGACATGGCTACCAGTTTGGAGCAAGTCTCAATTGTTGCTCACTGAGACAATCTGTGGTCCCTCAGATGGAAAAGGGTGTTAATATAGTGCCTTATTCTCTTCTTTCTTTGTCTGCTTTTGCCAGGTGATAGAGAAGGTCAGGCGGATGTTCAAGGAGAACCAACAAATTCGTGAGCGAGAGAAGAATCTGAGGGAGGAATTAAGCTCCAAGCTTGAGAGGGAAAAGGAGGTGTCTGCAAATGTTGAGGTGTTCAAGAAATCCCTGCAGGAGCTTCAGGTCAGCCCTTTAAATACTGATGGTCAACTGCCAGCCAGGAGATAAGCAGCACAGGGCGTTTTTTTGGCCCGAGCATAGGTCAGAGGAAAGATATGCTCGTGCCTTGGCACTAGCCAGGGCACAGCTCTCCAGGTCAGCGAAAGGCAAGTGTAACCCCCAAAACTGTTGGTTGCAAAGAACTAGGAGATATAGCAGAAGCACGTCCTCCCCTGGGCCTGCCCTGAGCTGTTCCCACCAAAGATATCGACCCATGAAGTGAAGTGTGGTACCAAGGCGTTCAGCTGATTGTACCCAGGATGTTTTCAGAGATGTTGTGTTAGTTGCCAAGTCCCAGAAGCCCTCTGGCTGTGGAGGTGAGCTTGTTCACTGGTTGTATTTTTCCTCTAGCTTGGCCTGAGGATCTCCTGCAGCAGCAACAGCTTGCGAGGGGAGCTGGGGAAGCTGGAGGCGATGTGCCTGAGTGCCCCTGTCTCGACCCTCGCAGTGGCGGTGGTGGAAATGACACGAGTCTTCTTGTCCTGGCTGGAGGATGCAGAGCAGCTCCTGGCTGGCATGGGGGTGGACCTGCAAGCCTCTGGCAAAGGTCTGTGTCCCCGTGGGTGGGAATCACAGATGGAGGATTCCAGGTCCCCACCTTGGTGCAAATCTCAGGAGGTGGTTAGCAGAGCGATTGTTACAGCACCGGGAGCATCGTGTGTCAATGAGCTGTCCCCAGCTCTTGCAGAAGCTTAGAGAACACAGGGTGATGCAGCAAAATCGGTGACAATGTGTGACAAGGAAAACAAGTCTCCTGATGGGAACAGGCATCTGGGCTGTGGGCACAGTCAAGCTCCCTTCCAGCAATGTCTCAGCAACAGCAGCGATCTCCTGGGGGTGGGAATGTGCACGAACTGGAGGGGAAACCCTTCTCTGGACCCAGCAGCCTTTTCTGAGGGGATCTCAGAGCTGAATCTCATAGCAAGAAGCTTCTGAGGGTCTCCAGGATAGCGAGGGTCTCTGGGTGCAAGGCAGACCTGTTACCCATGCATCTCTCCTTCCCCAGTAGCCAACACTGGTGCATCCACAAGCTTGGGTGGAAAGTCCACATCATGTGTGTTTTCTGGGTGTCCCAATGAGCACGGAGGGTCACTGTGTGGGAAGCTAGTGGTGGTCCCTTCTCCCTGCTGCCTATGGAAAACCCCCCATCAGGGGAGAGGGGTGAGGGCCAGGCTCAGCATTGGCCAAAGCAAGCAAGCTTTGCAAGGAGACAAGTGGGGTCCCCGGGGCTCCAAGGATCCTGCAGGGGATAGACATGAGCTGTACCAGCCCCCCGGACAGTGAGACCCCCCTTGGCCTTTGCAGGGCTGCTGGCCGCTCTCAGGAGGTTGTTGGAAGACTATCAGGAAACAACACAGAGGAATCGGATGTTGCAGGTACAGGAGCTGGCGTGCACATAAACCAAGTTCACAGGGGATCTTTTTATCAGTAAACACAATGGTAGTGCTAAGTGAGCCATGGTGGGACCCAAACTGGGAACGTACAGGAGCAAAAGTCCCTGTAGTCTGCAGAGTCCTGAGGCCTGCAGTAAATGCGGTGCAATGGAGAAGCCAGAGCCCACTGTCAGCACGTCCATAACCCTAGTGTGGCAAGGGAGGAGGGCAGATCCCTTTTTGTGAATTGTTTGTGAGTGAATGCACATGGGGTGTTTACTTCTTGCCCTGCTGCTGACATTTTCCTGTAACACCTCAGCGTCTGCTGTTTCCCTGCAGGAGCAATTGGAGAGGGTGCGGGAGTCGCAGGAGGCTTTGCTGCGGGAGCACGTGAGGGAGCTGGAAGCGAAACACGAGCAAGACCTAGTGATGAAAATCAAGCAAATTGTCTTGGAAAAAGACAAGGAGAGCAAAGAGGTACGGTGGCATGGAGGTTTGTTAGGAATATGACTGTTAAGCAGGAGAAATAGATGTCTGTAGTGGTGTTGCCTAGTGAGAGGAGGGAGCCCCTAGCCCCAAACTAACTTGGTGCGGTACCGAGAACCTGGATCTCAGCTACCCTGTATTGACTTTAACTCCCCAAAGTGGTGGAACCAGAAGTCATCTGTAGGTAAGGGCTGGACGCTCTGCTGTCGGTCAGTCCCTGGCAGGATGTGGAAAGCAAGGAGCAGCATCCAGATATGTGAGCTTAGTAGGACCTTGCGGTGTCTTGCAGTAAATGGAATGCAAGTGCAGGTGGGCTTCCTTGTGAGCCTTTTGATCACTCCCTTCCCCATGCTCAACTTCTTTTAGGTCTGTTTTGGCTGGAGTAGTTCTCCTGTGGAGCAGTGGGGTGGCTGCCTGAGGGGTTCTTGCTGGGTCACCCTCAGTTCTAGGGAAGCCTGGGTTATCGAGGTGACAGCTCTGGTGCAGAACAGAGCGTTAGTCAAGGTGTGGGTTGGTGTGCTGCCGTGTTGGCATGTGGTGATGGGCAGCGTGTTGTGGTGGTCTGGTAAGAGAGTTTCGAGTGGCTTCTGTGTCTGTTGCTTCAGGAACGGTTGTTTCCAGGCATCGAGTTTTCTCAGGAGGCAGGTAAGGAGCAACTGAGCAGCTCCTCCTTGGTCTCTGCTGTACCTTTCCCCAGGCACTCTTGTCCCCTCCTTAATCAAGTCACCTCATGTCCTGCCAAGCTTTTCTCTCATAACATGCCCCTGATCCAGAGCAGTTGCTCTCCTGGTTGATTTCTCCGTTGGAGTTGAGGTCAGGTCTTTTTCTGCACTGCAACTGTCGCTGTCGATTCTCAGCTTCTGGAGAGCGCTGTTGCCAAGGAGAAGGACAAATGTGAGCAAGCTGTGGAGGAAGAACGGAAAAAGATCCAAGACCTGGAGAGCCACCTGAGAAGCTTGTCTGAGGTCAGTGGCACACATGGGAGGTAAAGCAGAACTGCTCACACTTAGAAGAAATAAATCTGAACGTGTTCTGTCGCATGGTTGTCCATTTGGTCAGGACCTGTTGCTGGACTGTGGGTGTTTTCCCCCCAAAACCACAGAGATGCGTATCAGCAGAGAGAAAGGTAGATTCCTGCAAGCTTGTTAACATCTCAGTTACTACTGATTTCCTCACGCAGGCAATAACAAGGAAGTCAAAGGAGCAGGAGGGCACAGACTCCCAACTGAGAGAGGCTGTGCACAAACTGGAGGAAGCCGGGACACGAGAGGTAGCTCCAACAACCGCTGTGTGCAGGCAGAGGACATGGTGTCGGTGGGGTTTCGCCATCCTTGCTGAGGAGGGATCAGGGCACTTCAGCCTCCTCCTCTTCCCTGAAATGCTTCCCTTTGTCCTTCTGACTGCCAGCTGGGAGAGGCGACACTGATCATGATCCCAAAGGAAAATGCAGGCAATGCTTCCAACTGAGATCACTCATCTTGTTCCCCAGCTGGCGTTACAGCAGCAGGTCCTCATGCGAGAGGAGCAGCTCAAGACCATGCGGAAGGAGAATGAGTTAGAGAGGCAGAAACTGCAGGAAGAAATAGTGGAATATAAAGAGCAGAATAAGCAGCATTCTCTGACGATCGTGGCTTTAGAGGAGAGGCTGCTGGAGGCCAAGCAACTGGAGAAAATGCTGGAGGAGGAAAACGCAGCACTCGTGGTAAAAATGGAAGGTAGCAAAGGATTGTGTGGTGGGATGAGTCTGTCCTGGACACCTTCTCGGTTAACACGAAATTCATATCGAGTTGGAGTAGTGCACTGGCTGCTATGGAGAGTGTTGTGTGCGATGTTGTTTGAGGTTTGCCCACATGCAGGATGAGCCCCACAACTCTCTGAAGATGCTGTTTGACAGGGAGTTGCAGTATCTTGTTGTGTAGCTTTGGAGATCATTAGTAGCATGCCTCGGGCATAGACAGGGCTTTCCCACTGGAGAAAAGCTCTGTGCCCTCTAAAGTGATGAGACTGGAGCACTTTGGGCTGCACCCAGGCATAAGTCACCCTGAGCAAGGAAGGGTGTAAGGAACTGTTAAGCACTGTTGGAACTGGGTCCTAAGAGACATGGGTTCCCCAAAAAGATGGTCCTCAGTCTTCAAAGCTGTCATGAAGTAGCAGAAGCAAGCATGCCTAGGCTAGAAAGAAGTAATTGGCCTTTGTTATTGTGTCCTGTAGAACTTCGGGGTGATGCCAGCAAGTCAGCATCAGGAGCTTGGCTGGAGGTTTCTCCTGCTGCTGAGCTGCACAATTGTCTAAGGTAAGCAGCACTTGCTGATGGTGGTCTTGTTAGAGGGCCTTGGAGAAAAGCAGACGTTATCACTAGGGCAGCTTAAGGAAGACCTAAGGGCTGACTGCAACTTGTCCTGGGATCTTTTCTGGCTGTGACAGTGAAAAGAGCCCTTTGGCTCAGTTGAGATGGTCTTAAAGGGCATGTCAAAGCAATGCCCAGTAGTATGAGTCATGGTCTGTCCTGTCCAGACAGCACCAGGTACGAATGAGCAGGCTGGTGAGTCCTAGTGCCACCAGCATGGACCGAGGGGTCTGAAAGGCCATTAAAAAAGGAATGTGTGTGCAGTTAGTCAGAAGAGGCAGCTCAGGAAGACTCCGTGCAGGCTTCTGTAAAGGAGCCTTTCAAATGAGCAGTGAGCAGTTGTATTTCTCAGGAGATCCAAGGAGGAGCTGACAGCGGCACAGAGCATGCTCCTGTCCAAGGACGCCATCATCGCTGGGCTGACCAAGATGCTGATGGAGACCAGAGCCAGGGTGTCGGACCTGAGAGGTGGGTGAAGCCTGACACACTACTTCCACCTTCCCATCCCCCTTCTGAGCAGAAGCAAGGGTAGGTACTGGCAAGGGTGGGGACGCAGAGGTAATGGGAAATAGATGTCACCATTCTCAAGCAATGTCGTTGCCCTGCTTGGGGCGGTCCCTTCCCTTTGGATAGGTCAATTCCTCCCAGTCCTTGGCTAAGCAATAAGATGTTGGTGAGTGGGAGCAAAAGCTGAGGCCTTCTTTCTCACAGTCCCACTGGTGAATTCCTGTGAGCCTAAAGTGTTCTGAGACTTGAAGAGCCTTGCCTGGGATTCCTCAGTGGGGCATGGTTGTGCTTTGAGGGGAGGCTTTGTGGGAGAAGCCAGCATTGTTGCTGCCAGACCTTGTGAGGGAAAAGGGGACACGTCTATGAATGTTTCTGTGCTGACAACTGCAGATCAGCTGGGGCTGGATGAGGAGATGGCCAGAAACCCACAAAGCCGTTGTTTGTCTAGGGGAGCTGAGTGAGGAGCAGAAGGTGGAATTGGAGCAGAACCTGAGCCGATTGAAACACCAAGAGCGGGAGCTGAACCTGCTCCAAAAGAAGCTATCCCAGATGTCCAGCCTCGTGGAGGAGAAGGATCAAGCCCTGAAAGCAGCAGCTGAAGAGCTGAGGTACACAATGCTGTGCCTTGGTGCTTTGCAAAAGCTGCTCTGTAGGTTCCCAGCAGCTGATGGCATTTAGGTCTCTCCCCAGGAACAAAAAGCATGAGCTCAGGATTGAGCTCGATGGTGTCTCTCTAGAAGCACCACAGGAACTGAAACAGGGATTTAGTGAAGCTTGTGCTGGCAGATGTGTAACTAAGTCACTTGTAATGAAGTGAATGTTCCCCTCCATGCCACGGTAGTCACTGGAGTGTGCCCAGACAGGAGCAGAGCTTGAGTGCTCTCCCGGAGCTGTTTGGGTGACATTCACACATCACAGGCTCCTGAGACAAGAGTCTTGTCTCCTGGCACAGGCAAGCCCGAGTCCACTGCTGGATGCTGAAGGAGGCCTCCCAAGATGTGACCAGAGAGCTGGGGGATGCTCCTGGGACACCAGCGCAGGTGGGAGAAACTTCTAAAAGGGTAAGTCCACCCGGAGGCTGCCGAGGTCTGGGTCTGCTGAGAGCATCAGTCACACACGTGGGGTTTCTCGGCACCGTGGTGAGACGCAGCAACGGTGTCTGCTCAAGGCTGGCTTGAAGCAGGATCCCCGTCTTGTGCTGGGGTAGCCCTGCACTGCTGCTGGCTAATGAGCTGATGTTAGCACAGCGCTTTGGAAGCATGAAGTCACATGTGTGCTAATGGCAGTGATAATTAGCAATTAGGAGAGTGGCAGAAAGGTCTGCAAGCGTTCCTTCCTTCTGCCAGCCTTGCTGCCTGTATAGGCAACAGAGAAGCAGTTACAGGGTTTGAATGTGCAAGAGTAGGGGTAGCTCGTAGCACAGGACAGGAATAAAGGTTCTTTTTTCTCCTGAGCTGAATCACGTTTTGATTTCCCCAGTGTTAGAAATGGGAAGAACTCAAAGAGGGTTGCAGCAGCAGATGGAGGGACTGCAGAAATCATACATTGTGTGCCAGAGCAGCAGTGGCAGAGAGTGTGCCAGCGGGGAGGGCTGACTGTGCGGGGGCCAGGCGGTGACTCACAGCCAGATGACAAGAAGGAGGTATTGCCTGTCCTATTCGGCACGCAGCAATGGATGGGGAGCTGCAGCCCAGCCAAAGCGGCGACTCAGGAGCAAGTGGCATTTCTCTGAGCAGTGCTGTGGGGTGCCGGTGGCCGGCGGGGGTTTGCAGCCGCCGCTGGTTGCGTGTGGGATGCAAGGACAGGCATGTCCTCACCTCAGATTTTAGGGCTGCCGTCATAATGCAGCAAGCTGGATGGAGCTGTAATAGGGAAATGCAAGTGACTGCGTGCATGGGTGTAGTTTAAAAGAGAATAATGCATGAGATCATGTATAAAGGTAGGCCACAAAGACTGTCAGTTATCTGTGCATCAAAGAAAGTAAATGTTTTGTGGTGTGCATGAGAAATGCCGACATGGCCGTTCAGAGCCACGCACCAGCCCTCTCCCAGCTCTCTGACACCTTCACGGGGCTTCTGGTCTCCCTGGGGTGCAGCTGGCTGACAGGATCTCTGACGCTGCTCTTCTACCCCACAAATTCATAGAGCGGGTGTAGGGCAAGACACGACGGGTTTTGCTTTTGGTCTGTACCAAGTGACCAGTGTCTGTCAGTGAAGCTGTATTTAAGCTGAGTTCATGCTGAGCCAGATGCAGTTCTGGGCAAGAATCAGCTGGGCTGCTTCTTCCAGGAGCCAGTGGTAGACTTGGCTGACCTCGGTGCAAAATGCCGAGGCCTCAGGCATGAGGAAACGATCCAGCGCCAAAAAGAAGGCTTGGGTGAGCTCCGGGAGAGAGTAAAGATGCTGGAGAAGAGGCAGTCCTCAGGTAAGCGTGGCCATCCCTGGAAAGGGAAGATGGGTGAGTTTGTATCCGGCAGACCCCAGGGTCTGTTCTAGTGGAGTCCAAGTCAGAAGTGAGGAGGCTCCGTGCACCATCACTCCTGCAGTGCACATCCTCAATGCGAGGGAGAGCAGCCATCACCCAAAGGAACTCAGCCCTGGGTGCTGTGGTCTCACAAAGCCTCACAACTACTGTACACTCTGAGAATCTTCTGCTTGCCCTAACATGTTCTGTTTCAGCCCCTGTATGGGGAATAGTACGGAAAAGCAGCGCCATCGCTGTTAGAAGCTACAAGGAGAGTAGCAGTTTACGGTACAACCTTTGAATCGCCCCTTAAGCAACAGGTTTGCATCCTACTTCAGTAGAGAAAGCAGTGCTTGAACCCTCGGAGAGCGATGTTGGCGGGGAAGGCTGGTGCAGGCTTTACTCCATAGCCTGCGTGTCTCTCCGTGCATGCTCTCCATAAGGGGGACCTGGCAAGCCTCAAAGTGGCCGAAGTATGAAGCCATCGCACTTCACACAGAGAGTGGAACGACTCAGTAGGTGTTTGTTTGCCTCCAGCTGCCATGACGAAGGGTTCAGAGCCGCTGGTGGTCCGGATGAAAGACTTGCTGGAGAAAATAGTCCAGAAAACAGGTCTTGAGAAGGAACCTGCACCCTTGTCAGGAACACAAGGGAAGGGTGGCAAGGTAAGAAGGCAGTTTGTGGTTTCATAGGAAAAGTATTCCCTGGAACAAGGAGAATGGGGCTTTTGAATATAGTGAAGAAGCAGGCAGGGGGAAGCGGGAGATGTAAAATCCAGCAGCATGTGAGATGCAATCATAATGGAAGGCAGCGGGTGCAGAGATCCATTCGGGATGCCGCCTGCTGTGCAGAGCAGGAGGCTTTGGACAGAGGTAGCTTTCCCGAGGCTGGAGGCAGCTCAGCCCAAAGCCAGGCAATCTGTGGGCTCTGATGATGTTTCCCTGTCTGTGCAGGTCTCTGATCACATTCCTAACAGGGGCTTGGACGGGGTCACCGGTGAGGCAGCCAGCTCGGAGATGGTTGATGCAGCAGATGTCGACAAGAAGATGGTACATCGGCGATAGACATGTTAAAATGATCCCCAGCACTCATCAAGAATAAACGTGTTTCAGAAGGCAGGGACTGGCATCAGGGCTGCAGGAATAGTGTCAAGGAGGAACTGTGAATTGCAGGACACAGGGTACACCAGGCATCTTTGGACACCAGAACATGCATTGGGGTGCCTCCTTTTCCCTTTCCCACTGAAGGTCTTTGCGGGTGTTCTCTGGGGCAGTCAGGGCTGATTCTCAAGGAGAGGTAGGGTTGGAGAGGACAGAGACCATGGCCAGCTTTCATACCTGCTAAATGTTGCAAGAGAGGCTGCAGAGGGATGGAGATGGCTGCCAGAGGAAGTGTCCATTGGTAGTGCAGTGAGTGAGTTGTGAAAGTGGGTCACTTCCCTCCAAAAAGAGCAGAAAAATGTCCAGCAGTGAAAACAGGTCATCCTAAAAAAGGGAAAAATCCACTCCCAAAGAGCTGTGTGGTTGGGAATGGAAGGGCAGGTGTAGAAGCATCTGGTTCGGAGCTCGGATGCTCTCCAGTGTGATGTTGTCACCTCTCTGAGCACCTCTAAGAAACGCAGCTCCAAGGCAGGGATGAGCCTCAGCCGGCCGTGTTTCTCGGAGCGCTCAGATCTCACCCAGGGAAATGACCCAAAGGGAAGGTGGGCAGCGGTTTCCTTGTGACATTCCCAGCTCTTCGGCAGAGCAGAAGGGAAGCAGATGGCTGAGTGGCGTGATGTTACATGGAGGAGGACTTGGTAGAGACTCATAAATAATATGTCCCTCATTCTTCCCACAGTACCTGGATGTAACTGGTGCTCTGGGAAGGCTGCTGAAGGTGAGGGAGCTGATGGGAGTGCAGTCCCTGAAGCATCTGCCTCGGGAGGAGAGGGAAAAAGCAGGACTACAGATACAGAAGGACCTGGGGCTGCTGTACAATAAGATCAGGAACCTCCAGAGCCGCCTGGAGAGAAAAGAAGAAATGCTGAAAGATTATGAGGAGCTCATGGAGCAGCTCAGGTACTGAATGTCCTTCAGTGTGGCCTCCAGTGGTGTGGAGGGTTCTAGGAGGGACAGCCGCACGTGTCCTATGGTTTCACTCAAAAGCCGTCTCTCCCAGGCAAAGCTCAGCTGGGAATCAGGAGGTTCATGCGCCCTTGTTTTGCACAGGCTGAGCCAAGCATCCCTGCAAAGGTGCCAGGAGGAGATTTCCAGACTTGAAGATGAAGTCTCCAGGGAAGCAGAAGAGAAGGCTCTGCTGAAAGAGGCTCTGGAGAGGACCCAGCTCCAGCTGAACAAGGAGAAGAGGCTGCTGCGAACGGCCAAGCAGCACAAGGTGAGAGCGTGAGAGCTGGCGAGGGAGCCCCAGGAGCTGAACGTCCCCATGCCTGAGCATTCAAAGGCAGGTCGTGGTGGTCCACAGGCACCTCTGAGCTCAGCCAAGTGCTTCAGGTTATGTCGGCCCCTCTGGCATGGGGCACCTCTGTTGTGGGCTTATGACAGCCAGAAAGACGAAGGAGCCCAGATTTTGTGGTCAGTCTGACCGTGCCAAGAGGCTGGATGTCTCAAGGCTCAGCCAGGCTCGGCAGCATGGCAGTATCCTTGCTGCTGGAGTTGAGGGCGATGTGCGTGTAGGCAGCTCTATCGCTGGACTTGACCCATGTCCTAGGGTGAAGAGGAGGTCCTCCACGTCTGGGCAGTGTGAAGGGCATGCCTAGCTCTCATGGGCAAATGAGGTGTTTGATGTCTCTCTGTTCTGCAGCAGGGAGCCAAGAAGCCCTTCTGCTCAGACAAACGGAAAACCAAAGAGCGCACGGCAGAAGCTGTCAAGACGGGAAGCTCGTAGGAGAGGCACCATGTGGGCCTTTGGTGGAGGAAGGTCATTGGTAGGAACGAGTTGTCACACTGTGGACTCATCATGACGGACGTGGCACGAGATGAGCGTGTGTTTTGAGGAGTAGCGCCTGGGTGTGCTGGTGTGACTGTACAGTGTGTAGGACCTTATTTTCCTGCAGCACATGACCCATACTGCATGGTGGGGTTTATAGCAGTGGGAAAGGTTGTGTTGATACAGCCCAGCATATACATGTGTGTGCATATATATATATGTGTGTAGATACAGCCCGGTGTATAGAGCATGCATGTGAGGTCAGTGGTGTGGGTTCTGTCCTATTGCTGCTGAAGTGGCCTCGAGTACATGAAGCCTGCAGGACTTGAACTGTCCCTTGCACTTGCAACTCCCGTGTCCTCCAACCCTCGAGGTGTCACGAGGGGGTTGGAGGAGCAGGCACAATGTGATGTGGAAACAAAACGCACCAGGAACACCACAGCAAGCTGCCATGTAGTAATGGGAAGGGAAGAAGAACCACGTTGGCATATATGTACAGCAGCACATGAGAAGAAGCTGGGGAAGACGAGCAAAGTCCTGGTGGGTTGGGATGGGGCAATGGAATGCAGACCTGCTGCCCCTGTTGCTGTTAGCAAGGCTTAAGAGCAGATGCTGGTTTCTGGGGAGCAGTGGCATTTCTGCGGGAGGAGGAGTGTCCTTGCAGGGAACGGGCAGCTCCAGCCACACATCACCACCCCTGCAGCCTCTGCATCGCTCAGAGCATTCTGGGCTGAGTCCTCGGCAGATCTGCTCAGTCGAGGATAATTTGAATGAGAGCAAAACCCCGCTGGGGTTTTTCTGGGTTTGCGTTGTGTGGTTTTGTTTATAACAGGATAAAAAGGTCTGTAGGCAGCACAGAAGGGCTGGGGCTTGCTGACGCAGAAACAGCACCGTCCGTGGGTGCGCTGGCCCGCAGACCCTCGCCGGGGTGTCGGGCACCCAGCGGTGCCGATGCCTCATTCCTGGTGGGGGCTGTGCGCTTAGCGGCTGTGCCGGGGGGCTCTGCTTATCCTGGTTTTCCCCCTCCTAGACGTGCTG